GACGATAAGAGGAGACGCTCCAGTGTCAGCGCAAGCTGGGTAACGGAATCGACGACTTTTGCGTTCTGACGCCCCTTATCAGCCCTTATCAGTTGTAACCACTTTCTATCACCCACCAACAATGTCCCCGTCCCCACCCCACATAACACTTGTAAGTATGGTTGCTCTGGTGTCAACGCGAGCCAGGCAACGGAATCGACGACTTCAGCGTTCTGGCGCGCCTTATCGGCCCTTATCAATCGTTATCAGTTTCTGGCACCCACCAACAATGTCCCCGTCCCACCCCACATAACACTTGTAAGTATGGTTGCTCTGGTGTCAACGCGAGCCAGGCAACGGAATCGACGACTTTTGCGTTCTAGCGCGCATCTTATCAGCCATTCTCAGTTTGCTTATCGCTTCCCAAATGATGTACCAACCATATTCCCGTGGACCCGCCCCACATTAAGACCTTGGAAATAAATAGGTAATAAACACAACAGAACACAAAACATTATGTTATATACAATTTCCGATATGCCTGTAAGAAATCAAAAATACTAGTGAGATACCAATTACAGGAGGCAATAGTCATAAAGGGTAATGGGAAGGCATCAAGGCGTCGAGGGTAGGACACTCGGTGGTGAAGAGCAGTGGCCCGCCAACACTGCAAGTCGCACCAGACATTGAGCGGCTCCGGATACCATCTTAGTAGGTCCGTCAACGCCACCGAGGCCCACCTTTTAGGAGAGGGAATAAGGGGTCACCTGAAAGGCGAATTCACTGAGAAACATAACATAACAAAACCAAGGAAGGTGCCATGATCAGAACAAACAATGATGAAAAACCTAAACTATGTCATAACAAACACTCAGCAACTTAATGAAAAATCGCTTCTGAACCTTTACAAAGATCAAACCTTAGCACTGTTCTTATATCATATCTTGAAACCAACTCCTGACGACCACTGGTGCCCGAGCTATGAATTTCCGGTCAGACAGACAAACACACACACACACACACACGCACAACCGCTTAGCCGATTATATATAGTAGGATGATAAGCATTAGCTCCTCACTTATGTAAATAGGCATATTTCGTTTTGATTTTGAGACTGACAGCAATCCTATTCACCGCTAAATTATCTTAATTCAAGAAAAATGCTGGATGTTTACAGTTGTGATCAATATACCAGTTCAGCTCCAGACGTTATCACGCGTATTCTCGATGAGCTTCAGTGAAACTGTGGAGGGTCTAACACAGTCAATAGTGAGATGGTTAATGGAGTATCTCATGCTGATATTCCATGGGTCCTCCAATTTCGCTAAAGCCTGCCGTGTGATGCGCGCGATAGCGGGCGGAGCAAAACTGGTATATTTTTCGACCGCTGAATCATCCCGACATTCAACGCATGGTGGTTGTTTACATACACCACTTTAGCTCTGCACTCTATCGCGCGTATCAAGCGGTGAGCTTCAGCAGAAATGGGCGGCTATGGAATCGGCTAAGCACTTCACGATGCAATTCAGCGTTGCATCCTTGAGCGGTTGGACCTGACGTTCTACAGATGTTCAGTTTCACGGAAGCCCAGAGCTTTACGTGCGCGGAGCGTGCGGAGCTGTACTGGTTAGAATGAATGGCTCAAGTAGTGTGAGACGATGAGCATTCTCACGGCTAGCTATTTTTTGGCAACCTTAAAGGCGAAGTTTGTGTAGTGGTCGGCCTATTAGAAACCATGGGGAACGGCCCAGAACTCGAGACATGGGACCCCTGTCTTGCATGATATTTCCGCATTGATATGACTCTCACGAATGCTGCCCTCTTTGACGCTGAGCTTCTCTCTCTTTAACTGCTAGACCTGCAGCAGGTCGATAGCCAGTCGATCGGAGTACCAAGCCGATAACACCGCGGGGAGTGCAATGCTATGCCGTCGGAGGCATATCCTTCGCTGCGAATGCGCGTCGGTCCGCACCTTCAATCATAACGAGGGATATTCTAGTGCAATATGTCCACTCACACGGTGTCGACGTATGTCATCACTCTCCCTCTCACCTTTTCTCCTTCCCGCACTTCCACCACCTTTCCTCCCCCTAGAAGTTTCAGCAACGAGGCTATCAGGCCGGTGATGCTGGCAAACTTTCCTCCTCTTGCGTATCTTCATCTCTATCCTCTCTCCTACCTTGATCATCGGGGTTTCTTTTGATCATACACTTTCTTTTGTTTGTGATTTCATATCTCTTCATTATATAAACCACAACCTCGGTGTGTCGATTTGTTTGTATTTTTGTCTGTCTATCCGCAAAATGAAGTGTTTTAAAGGCATGCCCCAGGATCGCACTGGTGTGGCTCTTGCACACGAATGTGAATGTATTGGTGCCAAGTGGGCCGGCAAAGGAAAAGAATCCGTCGAAAACGCTCAGGTTAGGGCTCACTCACCTTCCTAATCGGCTGTGCTAAGGGAATGAGAGACTAAGCGCGGAGAGGAGAGTATGAGGCGAGAGAGCGCTACAGATGAGAGAGCGCCAGACAACAGCCTGATAAGAGAAATGCAGCTTGAGCAGCTTACTTTGCAAGGCCCAAGCGCTCTTGTCGGTTGGTTTCCGTGCACGAGAACGCCACATTTGTGATTGTCCTCTAGGGTTCTATACTACAGACCGAAGAGAAGCGTTCACACGACCTCTGCCTGGGTTGTGCCTTTAAACAATAAACTCCAATGGCTCCAAATGGCTACTAATTACTGAACACGCTTTTTGATCGAAAGCCGAGCAAAAGGTAGCAAGATGCAAAAAAGAGAAAAATCATGGCAAGGAAAGACAAAGGCAATACGTCGGCAGAGCAATGAGGAGCTTGCACTGAAATTTTGTGGGTCCTGCGGCGAAAAACATGGGTATTGTAGCGAGATGTATGGGTCCTGTAGAGAAATTCCACAAAATGTCCCGAATGTGAGATTTGTGCATCGCCGGGTATGCACGCAGGTAATGCAGCTATGTCACATGTGTGACATGCGCCGAAATCAGTGCGGGCGTCAATGTGTCGTTGACGACAGGACGTTCATGCGCGTCAGACCTGGTTACGGGGCAGCGGTCAACCAACGTGTGCGAGTCCAGACAGAAAAGCACATTTCTGGGACTAAGCCTTCCCACAGGAGGGAAAGAAAGCAGAAATGCTGTAATACTGAATCACCAGGCGTTCCGGTTGACCATTGCTCTCAAACGGTCAGAACTAACCTCCCCTTCAAAAAGCGAGAAAGTGTCGGGTGCAGACCAAACACCACAACTGACGACGGCCTCCAAGTAAATCTGGTTAGAAGTTGTTCATAGTGATAGCTGATTTCTGGTAAATGATAGGGTGCTAACTTAGTTGGGGGGGGCCACGCGGCGGCGCGGCAGTCTGCTCACCTGGGCTCTCTCGAGCGAGACAGTGTAAACTCGAACATTCCAGCTTTTCACGCATGTCAAGTGACTGCCCCCACCCCCCCCCCCTAGACTGCCTACACTCCCCCTGGCCCACGGATTTCCGAACATGCCAGGCGAGCAGACTGCCGCGCCGCCGCGTGGCCCCCCAACCCACTTAGCACCAATGATAGTTGTAATTAGTGACAACTGATAGAATACAACTGCAACAGGCTAATCATTTCATTGGCAGAAAACATTAACATTTTGTGAAGGCCGTCGTCACTTGTGGTGTATGGTCTGCACCCGACACTTCTCGCTTTTTGAAGAGGAGGGTTTGTCATTCATTTTTATTGTGCTTGCGCTCTATCATCTCGAGTTTTTTTTTGCATTCATTCTATAGATAATGAATACCATAACTATAAACCACATGGCAGCCAGAGTGGTCAAATATGCCTTGA